GCCGGTATGTGACAATGCTGCGCTACTTCTATGTTTCGGCTTTTTGCTCTTGTAACGGTTACAAGAGAGCAAAAAGCCGAAACACAACCGCCCACAATCACAACCGCCGAAATGTAACCTACGCCCTACGGGAATATATACTAGCGTTTTGCTCATTCGCTCAAACTGCGTCTCCCTTAGCACCATTAGCAAACTTGTCATTTTGCATCATTCGTACGAGCAATATACAATCGAGCAGACATTTCTCGTTCGATTACGGTATTGCGCCTTATATCTTATGCTCCAGAACATGTTTGTGCCCTGTGCTGCACAGGGCACCCATGGGTTTGACCCTGGCGCGCTCAACCACCCTACTAAGTGCGCTGCACAACAACTGATAAGTGCACAGGCTGTGCACTTACTAAATATCTTATCTATCAGACTCTGATAATCAAAGGTGTCACACCTCGTGTCTCACTTTGAGTGAGTCACTTAGTACCGGATCGAAGCGTGATAGCACTCTAGTGAGATATATCATTCACTCCGAAGACAGCGCGAGTTATAATCAATGCTGAATACCGAAAACATGATAACTCTTGCACGTCGCGATTGAATCAGATGAGATAACAGTTCAAATGAGTCCCCATCTTCGAGTATCCTCTCTCTTTTTGCATCGTTTCAATTGTGTCCCATGGTTTAATACGATTGTACGTATTGATGACTCAACAATATCCAGAAGTTGAACCCTTAAGTAGGCATTAGGTAAGTATTACGGGCAACTTTGACATTCTACACGAGAAACATTCACTGATGGGCAGTGGCACTCATCGGAGTGCCTTCGTAGAGCTATTCTTATGGACTGTGCAGAGGTGTAGAAGAATTGGACAGGGGTAACGCAACACAGACAGAATTACTATACCTTTCAGAAATCTTTTTGGCGGATTAGGCTATCAATTCAGCTGATAAGGAAGTCACCTTCGCGGACAGGGACATCAATTTAGCGATGAAGGTTGAATAAGGAAATCAATTTCGCGAATAAAGACATCAATTTCATGATTAAGGAATGCAACTTCACGAGCAAGGACATCAATTTCGGGTAGGAGCTCTTATGAACACAGAAGAATCTTCGTGCTGCTAGAATTGACAGATAATGTGTAAACGAATCCTTTATGCTGCGCAGAAGCATCTCTCCCGAAGATACTTCTGGGAAGATGTTGCCCAGACGGATGGCGGAAGTCCAGGCGGAAGTCGGCCCTGAAGGTGCCGAGAACGCAGCTCAGACCCCTCCGCGGCGCCGCAGGGGACCCTACAAGAAAGTCACGAATTCTGCCAAGGTCAGAATCATGGAAGCTCACCGTACCGGTAAGGACTGGAGAGCTATAGCCATACGGTGTTAGGACACCAACTGTACGCGGCTGGACCAAGAAAGAAATTGTGGATGACTTACCCATTTTCAAGGCCGAAGGTGGTGCCAGAAATAGGAAGATCACCGATGCACACAAGGATTGGATTACAAACTATCTAGCAGACCATAGCACCACAACGGTTTCTCAGCTCACACAGGCTCTGAAAAACGCTCACGAAGGGTTCGACATCAGCACAGATGCTGTACGCAAGTCCATGGTTAGCCTGGTGGTTAGCCTTACATACACAGTGAAGCAAGTCCACTTCGAACCAGAGACAGCCAACAACGAGGTGAATCTGGGTAACAGATCACCGTAGATGTAAGTGAGAACAGAATTCGAGAATTTGTGGAGATATAAACATAAATTCGAGAAATGTATTTCGGCTAACCCGAGTTGGCGAGTAGGTTCGAGAGCGCGAGCAAGGCGGCGGAGTTGTTTACACTGACAGCGGCGGAGACGTGGAATGCTATGTTGATTAGTGCAGACAAGGGAGATGGCGTGAGGTAAGACTCGAGCAATCAACAGAAATAGAAGTACGTTGTCTGAGAATCCGGGCTTCAGAAGAGGCGTGGTAGTGGATGCCATCATGGGATATAGTTATTAGAGGATCACACGTAGGCAAATTATGGTCTGGCGGAAGGGGCAATAGCTTGATGGAGCCATCAGATGGAGCCATCAGGCAGAGTGACAGGATGCAAGACATACTTATCGGCGACTCAGTCGACGACGCAGCTTGCGTCTGCGTTTGTCTATTGAGGAGGAAGAGACAGGCGTAAAGGAGGTAGGTAATAGCTAGGAGAATTTGCGCCTTACTGAGATAAGGAAGAGACACAAGAGCCAATGATGAACATCAATGCAAAACATCAGCATATTATGCATCCCTAGGGATAGACGAGCTCATGCACTGTTATCAGGGCCACCCCTTCACTCAAGATAGCAAGTGGGAACACGGTCGCAGTCTACCCTTGAGACGCTGGGAACTACTTCTTAGCTCTGACTTAGCCTGAATATGGAGTCTGAACCCTCGCAAATGGTCGTTCTTCGGGTGAGCCTTGGATACAACAGTGTGAGGAGTGATGGTCTCCGTCGAATTGAGGAAATCACAGCAGAGGGAGCACGGAGGCCGGATCGATCCAGTGACTGGATTCCAGTCGATGATCGAAGTATTGCAGTTCACGTGAACACACCTCAAACATCAGTAATGCGCGGTTGTTGGGATCCAGTGCAGAAGAGGGGCAGTTAAAAAGAAGGAATCAGCAGCGAGTCGGCGGTTTGGTGGCGATCCATGGTACTTTGATGGCACGATTCCAATTAAAACCGTTTAAGATTCTGCCTCTAAACTTGGGTAGTTCTTTTCACGCATACATAGAGATAACCCCCACAATGCCGAGATCTGAGGTATCTCCTGCAGCTGGGCTCCATATTTCTCTAGGGCACATCACTTGAAATATTCCTGTATGAGCACAATCTTCCTACTTTTTCACATAGCGTACTACGCTAAGCGTAGGGAGTTGGAAATGTTCCACTCTTTTCCTTTTAACTGTAATTACAGTACGTCGTCTCCCCAATGGACAATCTCCATTAGCTAAATCCTCTTGTGCGTTGCACGCAGACACACAGAGCTTTATACATGAGGGGAAGATGCCACTTATCGCTGGCTGTGCCAGTGAGATGAGCGGTACCACGATGTCGATACTCTTCATGGACTGTGAGTCGTAATGTCTCCATTAATATGCCTACTGCGAGGAGTCAACAGCCCTATTCGCATTGAATCTCTGATTGAGTACAAGTGGTTCAGGGCCACTGGTCCTCCCTGATTAGGAATACACAAGACTGTCTTCAGCTTCAACTTTAATCTCTGTTCCATATAACTTTTCCCTGTAAATGATCCACATTATGTCTCTCTCATCCCCTCATAGGGATAAACTACTGCGTCGATGC